TATATATATATGTGTGTGTGTGTGTGTGTGTGTGTGTGTGTGTGTATTTATATGTATATATTGTTATTTTGTATTGATATTCAAAATGCCGAAATGATTTTCTTTAGTGTAAACTTATGTTGTTTGGATTCTTAACTAAATATTGTTTGTAAGCCTTACTTAATTTTCTCTTGCTGCCCATATAAATCGTTCATTCTACTTCTATTAAAGATCAATGGTGTAGAATCTACACCTACTTGTGAAATTATATTGCATTTATGCTTAATATGCAAGACGCCCGTTGCTTCGAGACTTAGACCTTCTGCTGTTCAAGAATGCAGTGACAAACTCCGGAGCGTTGGACGAATTGGAACGTGTCAATCACCAAGTATATCTGACCTAGTTGACTAGCAAATTGTATGGTCCTCCCTAATTTAAAGAATAAGTCCTACTAATTTTGTTATGTTCAGGTAAGCAGATATCTCCTATCTTAAGTAGTAATTTATTGGTTTTTGCAGAGATGGAAGCTTTATGTATATATATACCAACTGTAAAATTCAACTTTGACAGGAGTTGAAACTTGCTTCACGACGGAGCATTTTGTTAGAAAATTCAACACTTTTTCAGTGGGATCTCAAAGATAATATACTGCTTTGATTTTATTATTATAGTTGCATATTATATAGCTTATGCAGACATCTAAAACATAATTAACAACTTCTCCGGGTATCCTTTCGAATGATTAATTCACTGCAAGAAATTTTGGTAACAACTAAGTGACTGAATTGATAATACAAAGTCTACAAGTTTTTTTGAGAATTAAAAGTTATTTGGTAGCATTTTTGTTGTTGAAAGAGATAGAATGAAATGTGCCGCCTCATACGCTAAATTCATAAGTTGGGTAAATTCTTCAACCAGTTTGAAGTAATCTGTTGAGGTTATTGTATATCTTGCACATCCACTCTAGCTTTTCAACAATGAAAAAGATATTAGAATAACTCTTAATTCTCAAAGAGATCCTAAGAGGCAACTTCATAGCAATTTAGCCTCTTAAGTCATATCCGCAATCATCGATCGCTGGATCACACTCAACATAAATACATAATACACATACTTGAACAAAGATAAGTGATTTCCACCACTTTTATTTTCTACTCCATGTTTATAAAGTCTCAATTCCTTCTCTACTCTTCCTCAATCAATCAATTTAATAATACAAAAAAACAAAACAAATATAGGAAATTACACAATCTCACTCTCCTCCACAAACATAAATGAAAGAGCTTCCAAATTTATATAAGGGCTATATATATATATATATATATATATAGCCCTTATATAAATTTGGAAGCTCTTTCATTTATGTTTGTGGAGGAGAGTGAGATTGTGTAATTTCCTATATTTGTTTTGTTTTTTTGTATTATTAAATTGATTGATTGAGGAAGAGTAGAGAAGGAATTGAGACTTTATAAACATGGAGTAGAAAATAAAAGTGGTGGAAATCACTTATCTTTGTTCAAGTATGTGTATTATGTATTTATGTTGAGTGTGATCCAGCGAAAAAAACTTGGACCAAAAGCTGTTCAAATTGTTGTACTGTAAATAACTATTTACATCTGAAAATCATAAGTTATATTGTACTGTGAATAACATCTGAAAATCATAAGTTATCTAATTATGGAGTTCAAAAAGAAACTTTGACCAAAGGCTGATCAAATTGTACTGTCAAATGTAATAACTTTTTCTCTTTTTTGACACAATTTCATTTGCTATCAAAACCCATCAAATTTCCACAAGACACATCACTAAATAATTAGACCAAAGCCTGTTCAAATTTGACTATGAAATGTAATAGTTTTGTCTCTTTTTTGGCACAATTTCATTGGCTACCAAAACCCCATCAATTTTTAAGAAGACACCTGTACTTTTATATATATTGTATATATATTTATTACTCATAGAGCACAAATTTATTAGGCTTCCATTGGAGAAAAACTTTTTCTCCCTTTTTCAGGTATTTTTTTCCCCTTTTCATGTTTTCCTCTTCCCATTTTCAATTTTTCTTGCAGATTTTGTTTGTCACCAAAGGAGAAAATCAAAATGGGACAAAATTAGAGTTATTATTTTCACTTAAAATTTCAATTTTATTACTCAGCAGACATATTTGGGGGTATTTATTATATTTTCTAATGTTTCAGTAAGTTAGGGATAATTATGTTCTTGCATGTTCCGAATTTGATTCGAAAAATTCATATTGTGTTTTCATTATATTTTATGACTTTTAGTATGTGGAGGGAAATTATGTTGTTGCATGTTCCTAATTTAATCACCCCTGTTCATGCAACCACAAAAAAGAAAGGACTTTGACTCAATAGTCATGTTATCCTGCAGATACTACTATTTGGTTAAATATATTTCGTACAAACATGGTACTAAGATTGAACATCGACCGAATAGAATTAGCAACACGAGATTGAATTTGCAAAGTTCAAATTGTGGAAATCGGACGCCCGCGAGAAAGTCCTGACAAGAAATGTAGATTTCAAAATTTGATTTTGGAAGATGAAGAGGTGAGCTCATTATATTTTATCTTATGAATATTCTTCTTTTTCTTTTTACCTCAGATGAACATTTTTCTTTGGTTTTACTGTTGGTAAGTAGTTAGAGTTAATCTCAGCTTTCTATAACTCTTACTTTCAGGAATGTCAGATTAAGGCAGTAATGTATGCCGATGAAATTGAGCAGTATGCAGATAAGCTTAAACTCATGAATACCTATCTCATCTCTACCGCAAAAGTCAAAGTCTCGCCAACTTCATACGGCAAGCCAATACATAAATTTTACTGGGTTCTTGACAAAGAAACAGTAATTGAACATATCAAACCATCTAACGAACTTGAGAAACCACTTCCACCACCAACCAAGCTGAATATCACAACCTTTGACCGCATTCCTCATATGATGGTTGATTCTGCTGCTGAAATTGGTATATCAATCCTAATAGATATTATCAAGCTAAAATATACATGTTTACTGATACACACACTTACAACATTTCATTATGTATTATATAAGCAGATATACTGGCAATCGTTCTTCGTTGTGGTCCTCAAAAATACGCAGGTCGCAGTCATCAAAAGGGTCGAGAAATTACCATTTGTGATAATCCGTAAGTATAACATTTCACTTTCTATTTTCCCATTTTCTGAAAAGATTTTGAATAAGTAAACACTTTTTTGGTTTGTTTGGTTGGATCATTAGTTATCGTCTGGGAGTTATCATGGTACTTAGTATTCTCTCCTCACGTTCTCAGGAAAAATCAGTTTATCCTCACTCTATGGGAGGATTTCGGAGAAATAGAAGGAAATGAAATTGAAGCTAAAATGGCAACAGAGGCAGATCTAATTGTAATCCTCAGAAGGAGTATAGGAATCTCTAATTATCAAGGTACAGATGCGCTGAACTTTTTACCAACATAATTTTAGATAATAACAAAACATTATACAAGTTATGTGTTATACAGGATTGTCACTGAAGACTAGGTTCAATTCAACAATACGTGTGGATCCTAATTACCCACAGGCAGTAGAACTCATCAACTGGTATTCACATTTCATCATTACTCACTAGCTTTAATTTGCATGTAAAGAACTTACTAAACATATTAGGTGTTGTAACAATAGGGCAAAAGAAAACAAAACAATGTTCTTAAGTCGTGCGTCAGAGAAAACCTCAACAAGCTCATCTGCCCGTCCCATGGTAGTGACTCCTGACGGCCAACAAGTTATCTCTATTGCATAAATGTCATCATCAGCTTCTGTAAGTCATACTTCAAGCTGATCATTTGAGAGTATGCTTATTAATTTTCTGATTGTCTAGCTTTAGCTAAATAATAAAAACAAATTATATTTACTCATGAGTAATTTAAGACGTATTATGTATATGATATTTTTCAACAGATGGGACTCTTCTATGTTGAGGCAGAAATAGCCATATCAGATGAATTCCAATAGTTTTGTGTGATTGAATGCTCAGGATGCAAACAGAAGAAGCGCACAAAGGATAGAAAGGATTTTGAATGTCCAAAATGCAATCGGAAAACAACATTAGTGCCTCGGTACTATACTTTTGACTTGTAAATTATAGTTTGTACAAAATATAGCGTATATTATACACAAATTTTAAACTTGTCGTGATTTCAGGTGTATCTTTCAAATTGATCTTATTGATGGTACTGCTACAACCACAACATCTATCTCTGGTGAATTGGGAGAAAAATTACTCTCCATGACAGCGGAAGACATATTTGACATAACTTGCACTAAGGTGATCTCCCATTCCCGCTGGCTACTTGTACACATCTATTGTCACAACACCATATATCTTGAGCAGAAACAGTTTAGCATATATGCTTAGTTCTCTCATTGTCTGTTAATCATGTCCATGAGATGTTGTCAAATAAACTATTTCAAATTCAGCTAAGGAAGTCATCTTGGGGCAGCTCAAATAACACACATGCAACTTTGTCCATTCTTTCCTACATGGAAAAGGAACATACTCCGCAGAGCACTACTGATAGGAATTCTAAAAAGATAAGGCCTTTGGAAATAAGTGAGGTGGAGGTGATGGCAACAACTACTGTAGCTGATTCTTCAAATGCGACGCCGAAATTTGAACAACCCACACAAATCAAAAAGGTGTAAAAGGCTAGTCTACATCTGACCTTCACACCAAACTATAAGTCACAATGATTAACAATTCGAAATATTTAGAAGTATTTGAAAAAGTTTTGGTAAAAAAAACTAACAGAGTTTTAAAAAGTAAAGGTAGAATCATTGAGGTATTGGAAGAATATCGTTCATAATGTGATCAGAAAGTTGTGCAACTCTTTTGAAATCCAGAAAGTATACTACTGGAAGAATTTACAACCAACTACATTTCTCTTCCTTCAAAGTTATAATTCATTTGGGATTTCAATTTTTTTTAACTGTGTTGGATTTTGATGATTCTGAGTTGGATTACTGATGTAATTAAATTCCTTTATACGAAAGAAAGTATGGAGAATGAAGAATTTGAATTAGATTATTTTAGTTATAATAATTGAGCAGCTTGATTATTTCAGAGTTAGGACCACCTCTTTGGGCAGTGATCTATGTGTGTTTGTTAAGTTATTAAGCATTCAAATGTTTTTTTTATGGAAATGAATTGTGAACTATTGCCATACCAACAATTCAATACACTTATGGAGCATCTATACTCTCAAACATTGATTCCAAGAATGATAAACCTCAATTATACTAATTACAGAGCTGATCACAAAGAGATTCAATAGGGAATCTATCACTTTTATCGTGATTCCATGACTTTCTTTCTATTTGATACCTAATGGGCATATAAATTTACCTTGAAAGTTTTGCTCATTCTAGGTGATTAGCTCTCCCCCACCCCCATTAACTGACCATGTATTGTTCTTTCTGAAATTTCCATTTGCTCTTTTCCAGTTTCTGTACTAAAAATGTGCCAGTTTGGAGGCTAATATTTAAATTGTTTTGCTATGTGTTGCCATATTTTCAGTTTCTGACAGACTTTAAACTGTCTAATTACAGGAACTCCCTCGCTCCATTTTGTAACTTTTGCTTAATAGGGAGAATAAAATGAATCAGTCTCCCTATGCTATGGTTTTTTGAATGAAGAAGATTAGCTACTAAGAAGTGAACTCCGGCGTCCTCTACATATGATAAACAATGACATGCTAATCTTATATACCAAAATTGAAACATTTGCTATGTTATTTTGGTTGTATTACATTAGTTAGTATTTGCAGATCGTTCAAATCGACATCATACTGATGTCTGTTGTACATATTCTGAATATTTCTAATAGTATATAATATATGCTATTATCCATCTTCTGCAAAAGCCATCACCCTTGATTCATTAATGTTAATATTTTTACAAGCATAATATTTTGACTATTAGGCCCGTGGCAAGCACGGGCCTCCCCCATCTAGTCTCTATATATATAAGCCAACAAGAGTTGGACTAACACATCTCTCTCTCTCTCTCTCTCTCTCTCTCTCTCTCTGCACACAGCCGAGGGTCAACATGTCTGCTTCAGCTGTGTGCTTATTTTCATATTCAGCTGCTTGGCTTACTGGTATAGGCTTGACATTTAAAGTGCAAGATCTGGGGTTCAAACCTTGCCAACATCATTTTTTTATTTTTGTTTTAATTTCAGTGACAAGGGTATTTTTGGTATTTACTAGCTTTTGCTCCTTAAAACTTTTGTATGCCAGTGCTTTATAATTGTACCTTTTCTTCTTTAGACAAAAAGCCCAGCCAACATCTCCATAATGACACATATATAAATCAAAAAGTTGTACTCTTTAATTAATTTAAGTGGGGCCACCAACTTTATCATGTCGGCTGATCAATACTATTGTGTATTTCTTTATTTTAATTTTCATGTCTCACTATTTTTCGTTGATTACATATTTTAAAAATAAAAATAAAGTAGTATAATATATTAAAATAATTAACAATTTAGTATGCTTAAAAATAGTAAAAACTAAATAAAAAGTACTACAGATTATATTACAATAATTAACAATTATTTGACACTTTAAATTCTATCAATACCATATAAATTAAGATAAAAAGAGTAACATATAATACTTAAATATATTTTAAAATAATATAAGTAATACTATACATTACACTAATTAACAACTTATATTTAAAAGTTATATAAAAAATTTAATCGACTCTCTAAATTCTATTGGTACCACATAAAATGGATTATATGATAAACATATATTGTTTGAAATTAACGAAAAAAATTTATAAATTACAATAATTAACAAAAAAAAATAGCTCGACTCCAAAAAATCTATCAATTAACAACATATATTGTTTGAAATTGACAAAAAAGAAACTATAAAATTACAATAATTAACAAAAAAAATCGCTCGACTCCAAAAAAATCTATCAATTAATGCCACATATATTGGGACATGGGAAATAACATATATTATTTAAAAATTAAGTTTAAAATGTATTATAAAATACAATAATTAACAACTTAATTTATTAAAGAGACAAATAAAAAAATGGTTAATTTTTGAAATTCTGCATGTGCCACATAAATTGGAACAAAGAGAGTAATAAATATTATTTTCAAAATTATGTAAAAAATAACAAGTACTATAAATCACAATAGCTAACAATTTAAAATATTTTTAAAATCATATAAAAATTTCAATAACTTCTCAAATTCCATAATATGACATAAAGCACGGGGTCCTGTATCTAGTAGTATATATAATCTTCTTATCTTCTTATCTTATCTTATCTTATCTTATCTCTTATCTCTTATATTACTCTTATTTAGAAGTGAGAGTTGGAAAGGACCAACATTGCATTAA